CAGCCTGAAACGAAACGCGGCCGGTGACTGTGGCGCAATAAATTAGGGTCGCAAATAAATCATCCATTTTAATGTGACAGTTCCGACAAACGAAGCCCCTTCGACGAGCAGCTCTGGATGCTGCTGGGTTCTCAATTGGTCCACTGGTCCTCCGCTTTTAGGGCTGCGGCTTAGAGATGGACTCGTGATTCGCAAGGAACTCCTAACTACGGTCATACTACGGTTTTGGAAGGCACAGCCTTAGTTCTTGGTTACTCTTCATTTGATTATATTTGCTGGATACTTGTAGACAGCAATCGGCTGCTTTTCAGCCTAAGCCCACTCACGAGCTCCTCTCCATTGGGCTATCTGCAGACCTGAGCAGCCACTGTCCCCTTCGTTATCCTGCCCCCCGCGCGGTCGATGTCCCTATTTGTGAGCCATATTTTGCGAGTTCATTTTCAGGCGTGCCATCAGCGTTTCCTTCGGCTGGGCCTCCATTGTTTGCACCCTGTTTGACTGGCACTTAGCCGCCAGCTCCTCTGCTCTTGTTGCCACTAAGTACTTGCCTAACTGCGGCACTTAATATTTTTGAATTGCTGCGCGTATGCGAGATGTTTGTGTTTCTCGTTTTGGCGGAGAATGGGCTCGGGAAGGGCCAGCATTATCTGACACGCCGAGGAACAGTGGAGAAAGCGCGATTTGTGGGACAAAATGTGGTCAACAGGGCGTATGATTAATAGGCGCTGATTAGGTTTTAGGTAATGCGAGCAATGACCAGTGAAAGGCATTACGGACTTTACAAATGAGTGGGAAATCCCTACTCTGCCCCTAAATTAAACATAAATTTATAGCACAACATTTCCTGTACGAGTGCAGCGTAATTTTCGGCTTGGGAAAAGGGGAAATGGCGCACATGTCGCCAAACAAAATCCATCCAAATTCGGGGCCCGAACGGCACATACACTGTGTGTTTCTGTGTGTAACACACACATTGGGTAATGAACATTTATGAGGCAATTTCCTTGGCTGCGAACGCACACAAAGCAGCCAAAGGCAGGACACAGCAGGAAGGACTCGGGCACAACTGACAAACCCACTGGAGGACTGGATGACTGGAGGACATGGCCGCCCACTGTCATCTTGGCGAACAACTTTTTCTGCTCCACTTATGCCCAAACTAATTAAGTGCAGGAAAAAGTTGCCATTGCCTTCCCGCTTACAACTGCCGAGTTGCACTGCCTCGCTCGCAGCTGGGATACTTCGCTTTGTCTGCCCCGATACTGCCAAATGCAGCGAGGACGAAGGATACTCGTGCTGCCAGGGATGCGAAAAGTGAAGCAGTGCACCATGGGCTAGGACCCGCTAAAACAGCGACTGAACTCATTCGATAAACTCATAACAAAGTTGTGAATATCAGAAAGAAAGTGTGATTAATATTTTCTGCAAATAATATTTGTAGTTGTGGAATAACGTGGCATTTCCCATTTGAAATATCTCTTTCTGCTTAGAAAATAATTTGAGATACATTTGTTTTGCATCACCGGAGATGCGCAGCCCGCCAGCGGTGCACGTTTGGCAACTTGCCACCATTTTAGACACTGCGTTCTCCCAAGAAAGCCGGATGAGAGGCGGTGGAACCGCGGCATTAAGCACATTCTTCTTATTCCTAGAGCCGCCGTACTGTGCATTTCCATTGCCGGCCAAATATTTAGCAGCCGCTCCACTTTTGCGCTGATAGCCCATTCGAGCGTCATAATAACGAAGATAAATGTTGCAAAAGTTTGCTCACAACACGCCCCATGACGAGGCGCCCCATCTTCTATTTCGCCTGCAGCTGCGATTTCTCGGTTGCATTGTGTGCAGTTGCATACTTTTCGGCTGGTGTCTCTGGCGAATATTTTGCAAAGACAAAGGCAGTGTGCGTAAACCAAAGTTGGAACTTTACGGATGTGGTGTATTGCAGGGCATCGGACCACTGGGAATGCTTTGGCTAAAAGGGGCAAGTTGACGTCAGTTGAATGCTTGGCACTCGGGGGCCAACACAAGGGGATAGCTTCCAAATGAGCCAAAAATAACACTAGCATTTGAACATGTTCAGCAAGTGGGACTTGCACTAGCAGATGAGATACAAGATACTAAGATACTTGCTCAAAATGAAATTAATTTCCATGCGGAAAAGTACGAATTCGATCGAAACCATTACTTCGAATCGAAAACTGATTAGCTGGGCACAATTTTGACGTGCTAGCTTTATTCAAACTTTGTATAGCAATTTGGAAGTTTAATGAGAAACTGGTGGGGCAACCAGAAGGGCAACGGCAACGGCAACGGCAACTGCAACGGCGATGACAACAACAACAGCAGTGACGACAGTTTACACTGATGCTCGTTAGTTCTACGCCAAAAACTTTGCCTTTGGCCTTGGCTGGTGCCACGCCCCTCGAAGTCCTCTGCTCGATTCTGGCTAACTGCAATTCACAAATTTCAGAATGGCCATGGGAAATTGGGAGTGGCAAGAGGGAAGGGGAAAGTGAAGGGGAATGGGAATGGGAAGGGAGCTTCGGAGCCGGGAGAGCAGCTTTGTTGGACTTGTTGTCCTGCCATGTCCATGTCGTTCCCGTTCTCGTTCACTTGATTTATGTCCGATGCGTCTGGCAAATGTTTTGGGACATCCCGATCCCCAGCTCCATTCCCAGTCCCATACCGATCCACTCCCACAATTCCCGAGGCTGCAGTCTTTCGACTTGGCTTTAATTAAAAAACTAAAATAGATGAGTGGCCGGGTAATTTGTCTAGATTGAAGCTCTCAAAAGCAATTTGATTACTACTCGTAACAAGCTATAAATTATGGCACAAAAATAAATTAGAGGTCCTTGCGGAAGGAGCGAAAAGGAGCGCTTGTCGCTCTCGTCTGTTTATTTATGTAATTAAGGGCGACTTTTTAAAAAAGTGCAAGGGAAAAGATGGAGTCATCAGGATTTTAAATTGGCTTTCGCTATGCTTTTGGCTCGGTCACAGCTGCTTCAAAATGCGAATACACCTTTAATATTTTCCCATTAATAGGCTAGTACAACTTACAAGTCAAGGAAACAAGCCCGTGGCTTGATTTTTCACCCATCGATAGAGGTAGCTCTATAAAAATAACCCACAGATGCTTTCAATAAGACCAAAAGGCAGGCATTGCAAGCTGAACATGCCACACGTGGCACACATTCACTCAGACATGGCGAACAAAGAAAAGCGAAAGGAGCTGACTTAAGAAAATAGCTCATACGCAGCGTGTGCCGCACGCCTCGAATGCCACAAATGCCGCCTGAATAAAGGATAAGGACTTGCCTGCCGGAAAGAGGTGCAAAGTCAGTGCAGAGGAGGTCATGACTTCCTTTGGCAGCTGCCATGACCTGGCCACTTTCTGGCTGTGCACTTGCTTATTTTCCAATTTGTGCGTTTAGCGTTGTTTATCGGATTACCAGCAATAATAAAGAAATAATACTGCATGGGAAAACATATGGGCGCGCCATGTGATGGATTTACCATTTAATAATTAAAATAGGCAGCTAAAATATGTTGAGTCGTTGCAAGTCATTTGGGAAAAGCCACTGATGTCAACTGAAATTTAGCATTTACATTCACTGTGCTCAAAGCCCGAGTATAGGTTAATATTTACATTTAAATACGTAGAAATGCAATACAAATTAGGGACAACTTGTGCAATATACATTAGCATATCAACATGTTAAGTTCCATTTTCTTCGGGCTGGCTCGAATGGGTTTTCTTGCATATTGCAAGAAACGTACGTAAAACAAACGTACCTGCTCGATTCATAATGTTATTCCGATGAAAGAATTTATTGAATATTTTATGCGAGTTCCGCGAAACACATTTAAGGGCCGCAGATCAAAGGAAGCACATGAGCCACGCAGAATCCTGGCGACCCCGAGGCCACTAAACACTTGATTTGAATATGCGCACCTGATGTCGGCTACCTGCCTCCGCTGATTGAGTTTACCTGGTTTACAGGGCCCGAACTTCCTTCAATCGAATTGGCCGGGCTTGGGCTTGGGTTTGGGTTTAGCAGAAGATGTCGATGCGGTTTTTCGGCTTCGCACTGCTGCCCAAAATCCATCATCGGGGTCCTCAAATGCAAACGCCGTGCGCAGGGAGTGCGATGTAGTACATTGTGCATATATTGGGCTCCTCCTGCAGCTGACTGAAACCACAAATTGCAATTAGCGTCAGCATTTCACCCCATTGACCTCGGCTGGCGCTCTTTTGGCTGGCCCACCATTGATTGATGATGGGCGCTAATTTGTGAACTTTTTCCACCAGATCGACCTTGGAAGGTTTAGCCGCAAAATTTGCATAGTGCAAGAGGTCCAATGCTAAGTAATGGCATTAGTCAAATGATAGATGAGCATCGCAGAACACGGCAGCGAACTGCAAATACGAAACTGCTTAGTGTAGTGCATTTTCAACTATTTTTAATAAGATTAAAAGACACTGTGAGCAGTGATCGCGATGATCTCTTCAAGTGGCTGAAAGCGGCTGAATGTCCTGTAGTGTCCTTGTTAGTTTCAGCTCGTTGCAATAAAGCAGCTCGCAAATTTCGCCTGCAGTTGACCCCTCTGCCCTCTCGCTCTGGCGCTCCCTTGCTGTCCCTCTCTCGCACCATTGTATTAATTTCCTTAGTTACATTTTTTATTCGCGCTTCGCAATTTTTTCGCGCTTTCCTCCTCGTTATATGGTCCCTTTTGCTGTTTTTTGCTGCTTTTATATGTTTTGTGTGTTCTGCTTCGTTACCTTGGCTATAACGCAGATCCTTTGTTGTCTCCTCCCCAAGCCACGCCCCCTTTCGGCCCAACCCGCATCCGCATCCGCCATCCGCATCCGCATCCCATCCCTTTCGAACAATAGCTGTGAAATAATCACTTGCCTGTTTGCACTTTATTAAGTGGACAGCGGCGGGAGAGAGAAAGCACGCCCCGGGCGCCCTCTCGTGCGAAAGAGACAAGTGCACTAGATTTACTGACCAACTTGAAGTCGTTTTATTGTGGAGCTTGTCTCGATTTCTTTTGCGCCAAAGAACTTTCTTTTGCTTTAAGAGAAAGTTCATAAAATTACAATTCCGGCATCCTACTAAAATTACCACGCTAAACTTTTGCAGAAGTTAATTGCACAGTGTTGTGTTATATGTTAAACAGTATTTTGTTGAGTGTAGCTTGCATTTCTCAACCTATTGAAACCTATCGGCCAAGTTAAATTGTTTCATTATAGTAACCACAGAGAAGGCCAGCTTGACCATCTACAATAGAACAGTTAAATTAGTTATATAGTTATTAGTTATGGCCAATATTGGTACCCACAGCCAAATTGGTTTGCATGCAAATGGGAAAAACGCCTCCAGCCGTCAGAGTAATGGGCTGCTGAAGATTGTGAAGGAAGTATACCAAGGTGGACTTGTAGCGACGGTCGGCGGAGGTCCAGTTCGATTGAAAGAGGCAATCGGACATTTCCTGGCAGTCGTCGATGATCATGTTGCACAAATAGCAAAAGGGGAAGGTCTCCATGGACACGTCGAACATGAAGAGGCAGGTGGCGACTCCGGTCCAAAATGTCGAGAAGAACATTAGGTTAATCATTGAGAGACCCAGCACAGTGCCGATCAGGAGGAACTGCACGAAAATGGTGCCCGAAAAGACGGGTCGCAGTGCGTCAACATAGCTGGGGAATACAATAAGGGCATTTCAAAACAAATTGGAAACAAATTGAAGAAGAAATTGTAGCACTTGGGGGAGCTTACTCCAACAGCAATCGATGATCGCGGATGCACTCGGTGAGCTCCGACAAGTACTCCTCCTCGGTCTTCCCTGGCTCCGATCTGAGATTTCTGAGCCGCTTCTTCAGCAGGTTGATGTGGCACTTAGCCATGAGCATGGCGATCAGGGGACACACGTCCGTGCAGAGATCCATGTAGATGGCCTCGGTCATCAGAAAGCATTCGGCGATGCTGGAGATGTAAAATTGCTTTTCGGAGTCGATGAAGGGAAAGTACATGCGCCAGGCATGTCGACGCTGCATCAGAAAGTACGGAAAGTTCATGACCACGAAGGTGGAGTAAAAAATGTGGTACAGAATGTCGAACAGGTTTCCCATGGCCACATAGCGATGCACAGTGGACCTCTCCTCATCGCTGATGCATCTCTTGTCCAGCTGGTCCAGCAACATCTTAGCCTCCTGCCTCTTCCTGAATCCCAGCATGGTGAAGGCGCTCTTGAAGCTGCTGCCGTACATGTTGACTCCGATCTCGAAGGAACTGAGGAACTCACCCGCCGAGAAGGTCTTGAACCGCTGAATGTACTCGATGCTCACCGAGATGGGCAGAAGGATCAGCAACACTACTGTCACGGATGCTGACCACAGCTTGTAGTGCAGATTCCACCTTACGAGAAGCCGTGTTTGTTTCAGTACTTATATACCATGTGAGCTTGGCTCGTTTTCATTACTTTTTGTTTTCTGGCTCGGTCCAGCCAAAGGACCACATCACCCGGTCCAAGTAAATGAAGGCATCTCGGGACTTAACCCGCTCGCTCAGTGGCTTTTCACTGATGTGGGTGAACAACTTGCTTAACATCTCGGCCGCGGCTGCCTTTTGAGTATTTGCTTCAGCTGGTCAAAGGTGCCTTTTATAGGCCGCCACACGGTTGCAAATTGTCTCACATGACTTGGCGTTTTCGCGAACTCAAACTTCGTATTTGCTATAAGTTTTCAAGGAAAATCATATGACATTTTTCCACCAAAAAGAAGCCGTTTTCGTCGACCGCAGGTTACCTTTCACCTGACTGGCATTATGCTCGTTCAAGCCACTTGCCGCGTAAAGCACTACCAAAACTACATTTATTCCCATGTACGGCCTCATTCGACGACACTCGACCAAATGCCCCTTTTCCGCCCAATATCATTGCAGTTCGCCTGGCGTTGCGGTGACCATTGGCGGTGTTAATCAATGCCACCGCGATGGCATGCAACCGAAAAATGATTGCCGCCAAACACAGTATCTGTATTATTAATGAGCTGCATGCCGCAGACTGCACGCCTGCAAATAAGGTGGCTCACATTTAATACATACTCTCCACAATATTTATAAAATATTTTGAAAACGAGCTGAGCTAAGTAGAATTTATAGGTAAAATTCTAGTATATTCTTAATCCGAAAGACCAAGCCAAAGAGCATAAGTGTGAGTGCAGTTTTTATAATGAAAAGTGTGCAGATGACACGAGGTTTTTCTGCGTGCATCGAGTGTCCTGCAAATTGGCATCATTGTTGATTGAGTTGATCGAGAGACCAGCTGCGGGTTCCCCCAACCAAACATCGCCCTTTGGAGCTCTTTGCACAGCACATTGCATTCTCATTACAGCCTTGCTTTTCGGGTGTTTAATTAATTGAAAGCATTTTTGCCAGCGTTTGCGGCCGCTTTCCCTTTTGCCAATTTCATGGAGGGTGTGAAGGGTCGACCGTAATAATATTGACTCATTGGCGTTGAGGACGGACATCCAGACGGACATTTCACAAATGCACACAAAAGGACCTTCGTGAACATGCAAATTAAATGCATTCGCCGGAGACAAGCCGTCCATGTGCCCTAGAATCTTTTGTCGGTTCTGATAATTAATCGAAATATTTTACATTTTGTTTCTGGCCGATGATAGAGAGACGGAATTTAACATTCAATCAGCGTCTGTATGCGCAGTCCAATTAATCGCCCATTTTAAAGTAAAAAAAGCAATTTATTGATTTAATATTCCTAGGCAAATCGTATAGATTTCCATTTTGATCATTCATTTTGTTCCTAATGGGCTTATTTATGGGTGAACGCCTAAGTTCTATCTAGACCGTTGAAAAGTTAGCCCAAGTAAAGGCTACACAGTTTGCAAACTCATCTTTAAATCAACGATTCCTGGAAAATGTACCATATGCAACATATTGGTCTGTTGTCTCATGAGTATACAGACTGATTCGCATTGTTGGTCAGTTGGAGGTAGTTTAACATCTGACGTAAGCCAACCAAACCACAGAATTTGGTACAAAAGCCCCGAAATATACGAGTTATTATAATTATTACTGGTTTTAATTGGCTCCTCCTCGATGACAGCATTTGGATATATTAATAATTTGACTAATTAAAATATGTTCGGTTACAAACAAGCTATATATAACATATATTTAGTGGCATTAATCTGACGCTTGCGAATAAATTGGAAATTGACTTTTGCACAAAATTAAAGCATTTAAAAGTTAGCAATTATGAGTGTAAGTGGGAAAAATCATAATCCTGCGGAAGTCCTGCAAGTAACTATGAGATCATCGCAATCAAAGTGATGCATCTTAACGTTAAACTTGCATTCATATATTTATTTTACCCTTTTTCATGTGAGTGCAACTAATTGAATGAATACAAGTAAATTCTATGCAATATATTCACGTAACCTTTGACCGCACCACATGGGTATGCAGATTTCAGCAGTCGTCAATCCCGCAGGTGAATGCCGTTTATTTTATTTGCGATGGAAGGCCGAAGGACACTGCTAAGCAAAGGCAAAGGAAAAATTGTAAAATACTGAATGAATGCAAAAACATTCACTTTTTTCTGTTTCTTTTACTGGCTGTTTTGCTCTCTTTTCTAGGTCGCAAACTCATTAGAAGTTCTTTATAATCAAGCATGGGTTCCTTACTGATTATGTGGAATTGATTCAGACCTTTGTGCTCTGAAATTATATTTAATTTCGTATACTCGCACTTTCTAGAAACCTTGGCTTGCGCTGTGACACCTTTAGCGGAGTTAGACTGTACGCGGACGTCGCAAAATTTGCGGGCTGAGGAAAATCCAGTTTAATCGCGTGCTCGAAAGAAAACATCTCCTGCAGCTGTCCTGGCAGGTAGCTAAGTCTCTCGTTCTAGCGCCAGCTGCCATTTCCTCGGGATTTCCCCAGAAAATCCTCCAGTGGCAGAGTGTCGGAATTTTCGCAGTAAACAGCAGCCAGCAGCAGGTAGTCGATGGCTGGGCATAAAAACCAGGGCACCCTGACCCGGGCAGCACTGCACTCTGGACACTCAAAGCGAACAGATCTCCGCGCAGCACTCCCAGTAAATACCCAGTAAATCAGTGGGCACATACGCGTATTCCAAATGGCTGAGCTACTCTTTCCACAACTGGAGCGTCCTTTGCCTTCGCTGCCATCGCTGCACTACACCCTGTTTGCCTACAGGGAGGAGTTGCGGCGCCGCGATGCCCCCTTCATGAAGATGTCCACCATCAAGCTGCATCTGACGGATAACCTCATCCTGCAGACGATCAAGAACATACGGCAGTACGACACCATAGAGATTATGAATCTCAACCAGGAGATCAACTTCAAGCGGCGCCTGACCAAGCAAATGAGGAAGGTGCGCAAGCTGGAGAAGCTCGGCCTGCACATCGATCCCCGGAAACTCAACGAGGATGGCCACTGGCACTGAAGCCTGACTAAATGGAACTCCAGAAGCTGAACTTCCCACCCAAACTCCACCGTATTCATACACACTACCAACTATTCTTACATACTCTGAGCATGTGAAGTTAGATCGTAAGCAAAGTCTCCTCAAGTTTCTAAAACTCCATAAGCCGCACTAACCATTCTAAGACTATCAGTTTTGAAAAGAAATAAAAGCAAAATTAGAATTAGTTGAGTTACGCACTGAGTTACTGCCAAAACTGATTTCAGCTGGGAGCTAGCCATCTAAGTGTGAACTGCTTTAGAAGTCACATTCAGATCAGACAAAGTTTGTTAGGTCGCAACAAACTCTGTACAAATTGCCGAAAAATGTCTACATTTTGGGGTACTCATATACTATTTTCACTGCTGATCTGGAGCGCTCTGTCGGATAAGTCCTCATCCGAACGATCTGGCGAAGTGACCACCATTGCAAATTGGAGTATAAAGGCCAGATCCGTGGACCAGTGCACTCCTGGCAAGGTACATGTGCTGACAGCAGACAACTTCCTTGAAACCACTGAGGATGGGACGTTCTTCGTAAAGTTCTATGAGCCAAACTGTATGGGCTGCCACGACTTCGAACCTATCTGGACTGACGTGGCGCAATCTTTTAAGTCCAGGGCAAACATTTGTTTTGCTGAGCTCAACTGCAAGTTGGCAAGAACAATTTGCAAGGATTATGAGCTTCGGTTCGAACCCAACCTAATATGGCTTGAAAATGGAGAGGAAATTCAGCAGTACGACGGGGACTTGACTTCCCCAGGCATTAAAATATTCATTTGGGAAATGATTAGGCTGAATGAAACCAGAAAATCCGCTGCCGAAAGGCCATATTTTCACACCAAGCCAATTATCCTTTTGGGTTGGTTCCTCCTTGCCGGGGGTGTGACTTCGTATCTTAAATAAATATCTCGCTAAATTGTACATTTAAACATTTAAATAGCTGTTCTGTTGTTCTCATTTGCGTACGAGCACACCTCTCATAATTATTTTAAAGAACTTTTGGCAACCAAACGCGCATTTCATGCGGGCAGCACACATGTGGGTGGTTAAAACTGAAACCCCCAAAACAAGAACTCATTTGCCGAATGCTGTGGCCGCCATAAAAAGTTTCCCAACTGCAGCTACGAGCCACATGAAAAATGCCTGGAAAAGCGTAAATTTTGTTCTCAGCAGTAAGTTGCACTTATACCCTGTAGTCCTCAAGTGCGGAGTACCAACTTCAGAAGCTCAGTCCTGGTTTTTGGTTAATATGGCATTTAAAAGGCATAACTTTCTCCTTCAGGAATATGCCTGCTTCAGTATATGTACACTCAGCCAGAAGATAGTGTGTTTCTCAGATTACTGTGTACGGGGTAGCGAATAGGCGGGACGTTCTGAGCGTAAGAACAGCGTAAGCATGCAAATTTGCGTGTGTTGTGTGGGCGTGTTTCAGTAATTTAGTGCGCCATTTAAAATGTCGGTCCTTTGGGCGTGGTTTGTTGTCCTTAACAACGGGGAGGGGATCTTAAGATAGAGCATGTTAACTTGCAAAAACATTGCATACTTGCAAGGGCTTTTGCGCCTTTGGGTTTTAAAAAATATCTAAAAAACCCAAATATAGGTAAACGACTCAACACCTCGTGCTTGTGTAAGCCAAATCTGAACTGAACGTCGTTGAACTAAAGAAAAACTAAATAAAACTGAAGAATGCCGCTGTGTATTTTGATACTCTTGAGAGGAATTTTTGTTAGAAATTGCATTTGAAGTACGAAGGACTAACAACAAATAAGTAACAAGACAAAAAGACAGAAAACGCCGAGGAATGCACTAAAAGTGGAAACGGAAGGCAGGCAAAAGAAAATATTAATCCGAAGCAGCACCAAACAGAGGAAAAACTTCTCGCCGTCCGCAAAAGTTTTCCTCTTCTGGGAAGTTTTTATTTTTTGGCTCGAAAGTTTCGGTTGCCACTCGAGCCAAATAGCTCAATGGCTGGAATGCAACTCTGTGCGAGTGTCAAAGTGCAGACGATGCTGACAGTCACTCACAAAAGTACATCCACACACCCACCCACACGTGAGGCCTGCATTGTGAGGCACTGTGGTTGCACAGTGTTAAGTACCGGGAAAAGTTTGGCATTCGACTTGCTATTTACTGGCGGGAAGGCAGAACAATCAGCAGTGTTTTCCGGTGGCTGGGTGGAAGCAAAAATGGTACTTTGATTCTGTTACACAGAAATATTTGGTGGGTCGGGTTAAAGAACCCAAAATGTTTAGCATTGCTACATGTATCGATGCATTAGGAATTAGCGATAGTTCTTGGAAATATTTCAATTTCGAATCCAACGGATACACCTGACTAGAGGCCTTTCATCCGTACTCCATCAACACACATCAAATTCCAGCCACATGCCATCCTTCAGCCCGCTGGCATGGACATTTATTCCCAAGCCACTGTGGCAACCATACACAGAATCGCAAAATATTTTGTCCTGCAGACAAAGGAATCCCGAGGAAAGGAGACGATGAACCGACAAGAAAAGGCCAAGCCCCAAAAGAGCAAAAATGCCGGTCGATCCAGAGCGTACTCCACCACCCACTTCACCCACTTTACCAACTTCACCCACTTGGCCGCTGAAAAGCCAGATAAAATATGCACAAAAGAAATGGAATGAAGTGTAGCGAAACTAGTCGTGACACAATTTCTTATGCAAATTGCAAAGTCATAGGGAAAATATCAAATATCCCGGCCAAATGAAAATGGTCAATTCATAAAATTCCTACGCCAATAACATTATCGGCTCGTAAGAGTGGGCAGCTAAAAAATGCTGCAAAATAAAAGGTTATACCCGTCTAGCCTTACATTTCGGGAAAATGTCGCACACCCACTTCAAATAGAGACATGAACCATTTGGCCAACAGATAAATGGGGCACTCGCACCGGGGATGTGCTTCAAACCCAGCTCGTAATGTGTGTTGGCCAAAACGAGCATAAAACGAAGCCCGATACAATCCCAATTGAATCAATTGAATTGAATCGGCAACCAAAGGTTTGGGTTTATCGATGTGCGGAAATCGGAAAGAGGGGAAATGTTTTCTTACTTTGTAGCAACACCTAGCAATCGAGCAATGTCGGGTATGCTACAGCAACACATATTCGAAGATTTTGCCAATTTATATTACTATTAGTATTTCAGCTATACAATACAATTCGGAGAAGTTCCTCTGTTATTATTCGACCCGAATAAATTTGCAAGACATACATTTTGAGATACAGGGCACACACCCATCGATCCTTCTGGCCACTGACCAATATATTTGTGTTTTTTCTGGAGCAACCCTTTCGGCGAAACCCGCAAACGGGGCCACCAACAAGAGGAAAATAAAAGTAAATTGATGTGCTCAACTGCTGGAGAAGAAAGCAGAAACGTGTGTCACATGGAGTAGTTTCCGCAATTTTAGTGGCCGCTGTTGCTTCAGCCATTTGCCCAATGATGCAATGCGGTAGCTGGGAACTTATGATTCGATCCTGAAGGTCTGTTGAAACTGTGGCTCACTTAAAGTTTAACTTACTTCCTGCAGACGGGCCAACTATCTGAATCACATCCTAACTTTTGGCTTTAGTGAGTTGGCTGCACATCCGCGAAACCCTGCTGCAATTTTACCATAGAGACAAGCGAACCGAGCATCTGCAAAACTTTTGCAATCGAAATCAGAGTCAAAGAACTGGCAAAAAGAACTCTTCTGCGCCGAGCTGAGTTCAGTTAAAGATGCGACTTCTCATCAGTATTTAAACGCGATGAATACTTCGCATTACTTATTGATTGGCTGGTATTGTACACTTAATGCGTATGTCAGTCAAATTTCCCCGGGAGCCGTGTACTTAACATATCTATAACGCCATCAAAGCAACTTCCTTTTGCGGAGCAAAGAAGTACACGAAAATGATTAGCAAACAAGAAAAATCACTCAGGATGTCGCTGATATGGCGGCACTCACTCCACATTTGATATTTTATTCTCGTAGGCAAGTTGGCAGCTCAGTAAATGATATGTTGTATTAAGTGGAACGTTGTGAGTTGTAGAGAATTTCCATTTGGGCGCAGTCACTTGATTTGGCATTCACATGCTCCAGAAATATTTCCCTCAATTAGCTTTTTCCAGGCAAGTGTTGCGGCTGAAACTCCGTTAATTAATGAGAAATGTTTCATTTTCGAAATGGTTCAACTTTAAAATACTTGCAGCCCATATCGGTATCATGTGTAACATCCTGGGAGAAACTAAAAAAGTGCAGGGGCATGGGAAATGGGAAATGGGTTCAAATCATGACGTATACGTACAACAAGTTGCCTCAACTTTTCATTACAAAAGCCAGTGCTGCAGCCGCAGTCTGTTCACATTACTGTGCCACGAAAAATGCGAAGGCGCCCGGGAAATGGAATGGCAGTGCTGGGAATGGCAAGGAGGAGCAGAGGAGGAGCAGAGGAGCAGAAGGAGCAGGTCCTGAAAGGAACAGGACTCCTGGCTGATGGCCCGGAACGATGCTTTGATGGCTCTGGCCACATGCAGCTGCAAAATAGGAATAGCTGCAGCCAAACAGTTGAAAACTAATGAACTACTCGTTCTGGTTTGCTGCTCTAACAAAAATAAACGGCAAAAAACATGAAACAGTAAAATAAATATGAAAAAAAAAACTGAAAAACGTTGACAAAATGGCAAAAAGTTGGCATTCTGCTTCCTTGGTGTCCTGCGTCCTGCGTCCTGCGCCATAAGTATTCCATGTAAATATGAGAAATATGAATTTAAATGCTGGAGCGAAGGAGACAAAGAAGTGGCAAAATGGGCTCCCAACTTCCCTGTGCCCTTTTCAATACCATAAAACATTCGGCATTAAGTGCCACAAGTGAAGGTAAGTCATGTGAAATCATGTTGCTTACAGCCATGAATGTAAACTTTGTTTAATGAAAATAAAGCTGGCCTTCAATGATGTGCGCACAATAATACTTGCAGAGAAACATGTGTATTTCAATTGAGTTTGCTTGGCAGACATCGAAGTGTCTCCCTTAGCTGCTCAATTTGGTGTACCACTTCATAACCAGAAGATTACCTGCATTTGTCCTTCCCCCCATGTGTCCTTGAAGTGCTTTTTGACTTGTCGTTTAACGGACTCCATGCTTGATTATTTTATATTTTATTATTATTTTTTAATAAACAAGCAGTCACTGAGTTCTCCGCAGATTTGGCTTCCTATAGTTGAGTGCACTTGGGGGCAGAGTCTGGGGCCCTCCACTCGCTCCGCTCTTGAGTTGGTTACCTATTCACTTCAGAAGGTATTCGGTCCATTCCATTCAAAACAAAACAAAGCTAAAAAACATAAAATAAAAAGGAAAACGTTCTCGTTCATTCATGCTCATTATCCTGTAGATTATTCGGTACTTTACAGCGCTCAATGCGATAATAACGATGTTGTGCTGCGCGCCAAGGACATCGATGCACTGCGAGAATCAGAATCAGAATCAGAATAGAAAAGAAGCATAGCTTTCAAAATGCATTTTAATCGTATCGTTACGATACCAATAATTTAATAATTCCTCGTATTGCTAGGTTTTCAAACATACTATCTGGCTATTTGAGTTCGGCTATCCAAGAAGTTTCTAGGTGTATCTGTCTAGTTTTGAGGCTGCTCGATTTCGAAGCACGGCCAAGTTAATGCAGTTTTGGCCTCGTCCTTGGACCAACCGCTCCCAGCTGTCCTGTCTCTTTGCTCATTGATGACGATGACGACGATGATGATGCACTTGATATTTGCCGTATGAATGCGAGTTTGGGGTTTGGCGGGTGGGTAAAACGCAGAAATCTCTTTGCCATTTAAAGCAGATTAAGGCTTTGGCCCCTTGGTCCGTATATATTTCGGACTCTTTGCGGGATTTGGAGCAGCTGGG